GTTTAGTGAGCTCCGAAAATTGGAGGATTTTCAGGGAGAGGTCAGTTCCATTAGTTTCAGAAAATTAGTGGGAAATTAAAGCAGTTCCCTGATTTTCAGATAGCTTCGGAGACGTTAAAAAGTTAATTGAGGTCTTCTCATAAGTTCAAAAGTTCACTGAAGCTTAAACATTTTCAGGGCGGTTCAATTAAGTTCAGGGCAGCTTACAACAAGTTTCATGAGAACTGCAAAAATGTTAGAGAAGTTTTTAGAATTTAAGAAAAGAACAGAGAACCTCAGAGCAGTTCCGTTAACATTAGAGAAGTCAAATAAATTTTAAAGAAGTTAGACCGAATTGTTAAACTTTTAGAGGTGATCCATGATCATTAGAAAAATTTAGGAAACCTTAGGAAGTTCTAAAAAAATCAGGGAAGTTTGAGAATTTGATGAGAAGTATTGTGAGGCTCAGGCTAGTCTCTCAAACTACAAAAGAACTTCAAGGCAGTTTCATTAACTTCAGGAAAAATTTGGGAACTTTCAAGCAGTTCTGAAAACCTCAGAATAGTCCATTCCATATTCAACGGAGATTTGCATTGAAATATTCCTCAAAATTTTCGTGAAGCTATCTTCCGAATTCAATTTTCTCCTAATTTTCCTTGGAATTACCTTGAAATTCTTCACAATAAGAAACCCTTTCGAAATATTCTCCGAATATTCATTGAATTCATTTCAGATTTCCATTTGAATCTCACTCCTTCCCTTGGAATTCTACTCACATTGAAAGTGTCCTAAGAATTCATTGGCATTTCTCCTTACAAATTCCTTAGATTTCTTCTCATAATTTGTTTGGCAAACTTTCCTGAATTCCTTTGAAAATGTCCTGGAGTTATTCTCAGATTTAATTTTAATCCTTCTTTTAGCCCCTTGCTTCGGCCTATCAAGCAAATAACTAATTTATTCAGCAATAATACATAATAGTAATGAAAAACTAGTATCACATCTTCTGTAAAATTGTAATCCGTAAAGTAATAGCCTATTTTTGGGACAAATTAAGTACATTTATTGTTTTTTTTTTAGAAGAAAAAGTTGAGAGAAATTTTCGTATTTTTCGATTTCTAGACGCCATGATCTTGCCGTAGTATTACACTAACGATAATCTACACTGCGGTGGTCATAAAAAAATATCTGATAATTTCATGAATTGAAAGTACTTACCTTTTTTGTAACATTGTAGCCTAATAAACCAATATCACATTTTCACTTGTATTGTTAATTCATAAGATTCAACGCTAAGTTGAAATACGTATCTGTCATGGATACCAAAATTAATCAAGTGGAATTAAATGGAAGATAACCTTTTTTTGCTGTTTTATTTAAGCATTCCGCTAACATTTTTTTATGAAGTTTCTTTTGACCATGTTTAAACCTTGATAAAACTTGCAATGTTGCTTGGGTGTTGATGTAATATCTACTTAACGAAAGGCCAGCGATTCACCGACGCCCCCACCGATGCTACACAGTTGGATAGTTGGACAGGAGATGGGTCAGGATTCGCTTAAGCAGGCGATGCGACCATAGTAATTGTTTTGGAGGAGACACGATCTTCTACTCCGTAAGCAAAAGCGGCAGCCGCCAAGCTAGCCAGGCTCCTCATTGTAAATTCCAATCCTGTTTAAAATCAAATGTACACAAACAAAAAGGAAGGGCAACATTTGAAAGAATATGCACTTTGAGGGGCACTTGGCCAGTTCTGAGGACTACTCCAACGACGTTCGATAGCGAGTGAACATAATGCGCACTCGCGACGATTGGGAAAATTGTAGGAAGTGATGCAATGTTTTGCTAATTAATTGAAATATAATTCTGTTCATAGGATTTGGGGAGAAACCATTTCACGAGACATTTCTGATGAACTAATTGTTTCAATTCATTAATAAACTTTAACATACCCTTAAGAGGTTCGACAAATTTACAAGATTGAAACTTTTACAGTTATACCTACCCGCTGAGAGTATTAACAACAATATTATCAGTTATGTCAGGCAAATTGGCTGCTGTCATTGCGTTAAATGAACTATCCCTCATGACTATTATTCATTATGCGTCTCTAGTAATCATCACTGGTGGAAGTGTGTTAGAGAGTGTCGCAGTATGTTATTGCTGTTCAAAAGAGGGTGTTTTCCCGCTAGGTTCTGAAGGACAGAATGATTAACTTTCTGTTAAAACATACAAATACATTTTCCTTTTATCATTACCACTCATTGGGTAACAGTAACCGTGATGTTTATTCCAAAACTGAATATTAATCGAAAGGAGGTATCTTCAACAAAATTTTATTTGATTTAGAATTAATCAGTATCTTTTAGAACTATTATTTAACTTCATAAGGCACACGGTCGACAATTTTGACTTATATTTGAGTTCAGTTCACTCAAATTCACAAAAAACGCAGGTCACTTAAAGACTGAGTATAATTTTAATCGGTTTTCTAGGAAAAACGTTTTGAATATAAGGAAAATCGAGAGATGTTTCACTCAGTCTATTAGTATACTCGTAGACTGAGTAAAATTATCGTCGATTTTCTTCATATTTGAGCAGATTTATGAGGAAAAGTGAGGAACATATTACTCAGTCATGAGTGACCTGCATTTTTGCGTTAATGAGTGAAAAACCACTCAATTTTGAGTCGATCTCATCGGCCGTGCATTAAAATTCCGATTATCCACGCAAACTAACTACACCATTTGATAGAGCAAACTTACTCTACCAGATGCTGGTGTTGGTTTGCCTGAATGAGTCTTAATGCGCGAGAAATCGACGTTTAAATCTATTGTTTACATTTGGAACATAGGCCTATTTCCAAGGGGTAAGTCACTCAGCACATTGTGCCGAAATTAGATTTGGCACAACTTGGGCACATCCATCGATACACCTTCTGCATACCTTCGGCACAATCTCGTAGACATTGGATTGTTGTAAATAAAATGGGAGCACCACTGCATAACTGTCATTGAAGTTGTTCACAACATTACGTGCTGTTTGACTGTATATTCAGGACTATCCTCTAATTGAATATACCAGAGAAACTAAGACCAGCAGTTTACTTGCAGATCTAAATACGAAATGTATGTTCTAGAGTGGGCTCAAGAGAAAGAGGCAGTTATTCAGACCCCATTAGCACCCTTAATTCAAATAATGATGCAACTCACACAAAACAAACTACAGAAGTCTATTCATCATCCTAGGTTTCTGGCCTGCCTTTGCGGGCATTATAAACCCCTAAAACACAGGACTTTTATCATCCTATGAACAAAAAACACCAACATTTCGCACACCCGCTACTTCCCGCGTCATCCTCAATCCGATTCATCCTTGCGATTTCAAACCAAAACATTCAAGGTGTCAGAAATATCGGGTTGCCGGCATGGACATTTTAAAAACAATCGCAGCTTGCTCTATGACCTGCACATCGATACACCTGTTGCACACTGACAAAAAAGATGACCCAAGATTGGTGTGCGAAGTGAACTCCTTGCCTATTTCACTTGTTGCTCTTGAATGAATTGACAGTTCGTCGTATGTGTGGTCGTGAGATGATGTATTTGGCTTTAATGTTGATTCTAAAAGCATCGTGGATAATGTTATCTGGATCAACCAGAAAGAAAACACTGTATCTTTCTTCCTCATCAGTTCTTACGCGAGAAGTGTAAGTGACGTCAACAATGTGGTTACGTATGAATGATAAGCAGTGAAAAAGAAGCGCGATTTCACATGCCGGACTTTTGTAGATCGAGGATCATCTTCGATAGGCCGATGTTGCATCCATTTATAGACCCAATTTGAGTACAGTAGACTGACATTACATCCACATACCTAGAGAGTTTTCATGTTTAAATACTGAGTTTTACAATTTTCGGTCGTGATTAATATCCAAATCACGGTTGCGAATACTCATTTAAGCTAAAACAATGTTTTTTTTAATTATGAAATAATTAGATGCTATGATCATATTTTGAATTGGTAAGATACAAGAAGAGGTTGCAAAGAATGTGTTTGACATATTAAACCTGTTTATTTCACTTCATGAGAGTCACAATCAGCGATTTTTCACACACTCACTCACTCAGCGATCAGCAAATCGCTGATTGTGACTAATAGAAAGCAAAATTTACAGGTTTTCTGTTCCAAACGCATACTTTGTAGCCTCTTCTTGTAAGTTACAAGTAAAACATGGTTTTATTATTCCGAAAAACCTTATTTGAGTATTTGTAACCATGATCCAAATAATAAGAATATCAGAGCTTGCATCTTGACAGTGAAATATCTGTTGCAGCTCAATTATTAAATAAGATATGACATACAATGTAATTGAAGGCCGACCGAGGTTAGGGACCAAAGATGCGAAAGATAAACGCAAAAATTTACGCAATCACCAGAAATCAATTAAGTTCTTGAATTATCACTTTCAAACCACTTGGTGGGGAAAAGAGTATTCAATCTTCCGGAGAAAAATCCTTCTAACTACGAATGAAATGAAATTTCATCAAAGCTCTGTAAGAGAAAGTAGTCAACTGTGAATTGAGGAGCTTGTGTATGAAATTAGGTCCAAACTCCAAGCATTTCGACTTGGAGTTTTGAAACATGATTATTACTCTATATATTTTATCGAAAAATAATCACAGTTTAAACATCACCATCACTGTTCCTAAACCTATACAAAATAATCACTTGCACACTTTTAATTTGCATGCACAGAAACACAAATTTCGGTTTCAGTATTTTCCGAAGCGGCAACACTTCCCCGCCCAAGCACATGTACCCACCCATCGATGGATTGGGTGAGCACCCACCGCTGGCAGTTTTCCCACTCACACAGAGCGAGTGTTTGCCACTCGCTCACATCAGTGGACGACGGTGCCATCTAGACAGACGACGAAGTTCAAACTCTGGGTCTGTTTCTTTCTGCTGAGTCTCACTGTGGACACCGACATGATCGGACGTAGCTACATTTCCACAATCTCACCGTAGTGCATCGCAACTCGCAACCCCCGACGGGCGCGTTCTCGTGTTCGTGTTCGGCTATATTATTGTTATCCTTGCGTACCGTCATCGCCTGTGACAGGGCACTCGGAGCCTGAGTGACCCGGGAGCTCGCTTTTTCTCTCACTTTGATCCTTGCCCATTGAAGAAACGCGTGTGCTATTCCCTGAACGGGTGTTGGTGGTTCGAAGGAAAAGCGTCGGGCGTCGAATGTTGACGTTCCGTCGGATGCTGTTTTCTCTTTGATCTCATCTCGCTTCGTCACTGTCACATCTCACTTTCGCTGCTCCGTGGCCGTGTGTTTGGGTGTGTTTGTGGCACGCGCGTATATATTTTCCTCCGCCAGAAGAGCGCAGCTATTCAGGATTGGAAATTTATACAGACATAGGACTTGGCCTGGACGGTGTTTTGTTGTGTGCTAAAAGAGTGTTGTCTTCTCTCGACAGCCGTCAGTCAGCCAGGAGACGACAGTGACGAGATTTCGACGGTCGAGCGGTTCCAAGCTCTGATGAGGCAAAGTGTAAATATACAACAGAGAAAGCAGAGCAGCCAAGTTGTATCCTTTCCCGTTGATGCGGGGCGCGGATCCTGTGATTCGCTCGGTGTGTTGTACTGCTGTGTAGTAACCGAATATTCTTCTCTCAGTGTGTGAGTTCATTTTTCTTCCAAGATTGCTCTCCATGGAGTGGCCCATGTTGATGCTAATCAATCAATTTTTCACTAGACTGGAAATCTTGACTGCAATTTCGGCGTAGAAGTGTTTACTAACCTGTTTCCAAACAATTCTCTGCTCTTTCCAGATGAACGAACGGTGTTTAAAGGTTTGAAACTGATTGGATTATAGGTCCTTGTTCGGAGTGATTTGTTAGTGATAGTGCGTGAATCAAGAGGAAGAAATTTCTGACCGAATTAAATTAGCAAATAGATGTGCACCAAATACTGAATGCCACAGCCAAAGTAATGCTGCATCATTGAGCTCTACCCGTCGGAATGCTTCCATAACCGTAAGTGTTAAACTGTAGTCCAACATCAACATCTAATCAAACACCGATCCATCGGGCAGCAAATAGAAAACCAAAGTGCTGTCGCCGCCGCCATTTAAGCAATTACATTTTATTTGTTTTCCTTCCGGGTGATGAACCACCTCGCATTTACTCGCGCTCACTCACGCTCTAAATATCTAGATGCGTAACGTGTGTGTACATGTAGATGGGTAGATGTAGGCTCCCTGCAGGATAACGAAGGTTTGGGGGTGCGGGGAGGTTCGGTGGATGGTTTTTGCCGGAGTTTAGATTCCGCGAATACAAGTAAATATGCGGTGGGTGTTTCGCTTGGCATTTCATTCATGTTTCAGCAGCTTCCGCGCTTTCGTTCGTCCTCGTTGCGTTTTTGCCTCCTGTATTGGCCTGCTTGGTGGGCTAAGTGGAACACATCGCGTAATGTTAGTTGGGCGGGATGATTTTGGTAAATACCGTCCAAGTTGAGACTGAAAGTTTGAATTTAACAAATAGGCTGAATTGGTGGAGGAGAAAATTTATAGCAAGAATCGTTGCTCGATATAGTAGGGTTGAGAACGGATTTTTGAAATAAGCCCTCTAAACATACTCAGGAATTTATTTGTTCTCAAAGTTCTGCATTTGGAAATCCTTTAGACCAGTGGTCTCCAACCTTTTCTGCATTGAAGGCCACGTTGAGATTTCTTTATCAGTTCGGGGGTTGGAAGAGTCTGATTTCTTTCTTTTTCATTGTAGGACTTGCAAAATTACTATATTTTCAGAAATAACAGAATATGAAAGAATTTTACTTGAAAACAAAATCATGTTTTTAAATAATAATCTATTGGTGAATATGACGTTTGAAGTTATTACTTCTCCACCAGTCCATCAATATTTGGCCTGATTTTTATCGTAGGCTTTGGATAGAGCATTCTACGTGGTCATGATTACTTCTTCTTCTTCCTCGCATTTCCAGGGCTGTTACAACAGGCGCGGATTTCGCGATTTTCACGGATTTGTTGCGGATTTGAACTTTCATTCGCGAAAATCGCGGAAACATTAAATGATGTCGCGAAAATCGCGAAGGGACTGATGTGCTGTCACAAAAATTTCACATTTCCGTCACGGATTATTTTGCTGTCTTCAATTTTTTTCTTCATTTGGCTCTCAATTTTTTACCGGTTCAAACCAAACACCCTGCAAATAATCGAGAAATGATCTCAATTCCCTAAGTCACACCGGATTTACACGGAAATTCCCTGGGGTCTGTCCAATGTGAGACATTTTCATATATTTTTTTTTCCAATATGAACATAGCCTTTTTCGTTGGCAAATCATAAACGAATCGTTTATATGCGAGTAATTGCCATGTTTTACCGGATATTCTAGGTTGTTCAAATCGTCCTGGAGTTCAGTTGATGTGTTATACTATATCAACCAAGGCTGCAATAATGCCTGTGGTATCGAAATATGTCCAAACAGATTCAAAGTGTCTACGTGGATCGTGCCCGACCTATTGCTACGTATACAAGAAGTTATAGGTTCTGAAATCATTATGGTGATCAGATTATTTTTTTCTACTAGATCACCGAAGACTCATTCAATATCTTTAGAATCGAAATATGCCCAAACAAATTTTTCAGTGTCTATGTGGATCATGCCAACCTATTTCCGTGTATGCCAAATGTTCTAGGATTTCCAAATCGATATTTCGATACTACCAATATTACACCAGTCTTTGTTGATCTAATAAAACAAATCATCTGAACTGCAGGACAATTTGGAGAACCTAGATCGTCTGGTATACGTGGAAATAATTAAACATTATCCATATAGACACTATGAATCTGTTTGAATATATTTCGATACTACATACTTTATCCCAGTCATGGTTGATCTAGTAGAATAAATCATCTGAACTCCAGAACGATTTGGAGAACTTAAACATCTGGTATGTATGGCAATAGTTCATGCATGATCCACATAGACTCTTTGCCAGACCAGACAGATGGAAATAGTTCGATACTAAAGACATTGTCCCGATCTCGGATGATCTAGTAGATCAAATTATCTGAACTCCATGACGATTTGAAGAACCTTGAACATCTGGATTACTCGGATATAGATCATGCATGATCCACATAGACACTTTGAATCTGATTGGACATTTTTCGATACTACAGACATTATTGCAGTCTTGGTTGATCTAGTAGAACAAATCAACTGATGTCCTGGACGATTTGGAAAACCTATAATTTCCGGTATATATAGTAACAAGTTGTGTATAATCTACAAAGTCACATATATACGATTCGTTTATGATTTGACAACGAAAAAAGCTAGGTTCACATTAGAAATAAAAAAAAAAATATATCATGAAAATGTCTCACCATTGGACAGACCCCAAGGAATATCTGTGTAAATACAGAACAGCGACGTGACCAACAAGTGTGATTTATGAAACTCCGGTAAACTCCCGATTATGTGCAGGGTGTTTGGTTTGAATCGGTAAAAATTGAGAAAACTAGAGCCAAATTAACTACAACATTTAGGACAGCAAAATACGTCAGAGACGCAAAGGTTAATTTTCAATAAAATTTGCATTTCAATTGAAAATGCATTAATTTTTTTTTAAATAATGTTCATTCAATCTAGGCCGGTTTTATTCAAAATAATCTCATAATGTAAGGCTGTTTTATTATGTTCACTAATTACACAGAATTTATACTATACATAAATAACTGAAGATGATTCATTGTTATTTTTTTCAAGGGTTACACACGATACTCCTTTAGCTCAGTCGGTAAAGGCGCAACTACAAAGCAAGTCCATGCTGGAGGCGACTGAGTTCGTTTCCTGACCGGTCTATTAATTTTTCGGGTTGGAAAATTTATCTAATTCCTTGGGTTGATTATTTTGTACAGGCATAGAAAGCTCTCAATTAACATGTGAAAGTACTTCAAAGAACACTAAGTTGAGAGCAGGCAAAAATCTAATATGCGTTAAGCAATAAGCTTGAAATGCCATGTATGGTGGTGCCAAATGGTGTTTCTAGGTAATGGAAACAGTTTTTTTTCGCGAATTAATTTTTTTTTTGTCGCGGATTAATTTTTTTTTGTTGCGGATTTCTTTTGAGAAATCGCGGATTTCGCGGATCATATTTAGAAAATCTTGTAACAGCCCTGCATTTCAAGATTATTGCGTATGGCATATTAGCTTTTTGCGTGCTCTCAACTTAGTGTTCTAGATGCACTTCCACAGTTATTAATTGAGAGCTTTCGATGCCTGTACCATTTTTGCATTAGTATAATTGTGTGGCAAGTACAATCCATCCCGAAAAATTCCTAGACCGGACCGGGAATCGAACCCAGCCACCTCCAGCATGGTCTTGCTTTGTAGCTGTGCCTTTACCGACTGAGCTAAGGGAGGTCCCGATTAAATCGATTTTAAATTTTATATTTTATATTTTCATGATAATGCTGAGTTGCTTACATGCTTACAGGATTTTACACTAATCAAAGGAACACATCGTCCTTGTTACTTTTTATGCCTTGTTGATAGTGATAAGTCCTCGGGTTGCGTGGACCGAGGATGATCTTGAAACAAGGAAAAAATGAGTTAGTTAGTCTTCACCTATGTGATTCCTAATCTTCTATTCGTTGTTTCCTAGTTTGAAGTGGTTAAGACTAGGGTTCTGATGCATGGTCATTATCGGTGTCATGTCTTGTTTTTTTTGCTAAGGAATCCAATTTTGACTGACAAAGGGGCGCGCCTTTGGAGGGTGTTTCAACATTCCGAAGGGTATAAATAGCGGGACCTTTCAATTAGAATCGATTCCTTGCGATAAAGGCAAGAATGACAACTGTATCAAAACCGAATACTTCATCATTTCTCAATAGTGATGGAGTAATACGACATGCACTAAACTAAGGACACGGGATATACTACAATAGATCAAATTACTGGTCGCAGTGGTTTTATGTCCCGAACAGAGGAAAAAAAAAAAAAAAAGGAATGACATCAGGAAGTAGCATGAATAAATTATTAAAGCTCTTGAATTGCAGTGACGTTTTCAGAAATTTTTGCTTTGGTAGGACTATAATTTAGAGGAAAAAATACAGTCAACTCTCAACAACTCGATATTTTCTATCCATCGAGTTCTCCATAGGTCGATATCTCCACAATTCGATGCCTCCTTTGGTCGATGTAGTGTTATTTTGATTCTGAGCTGAGCTCTGAATTCTGAGGTTTTGATGTTGAAATCAGAGGAAGTCTGGAAACCTGATAACTGGTGGTCATATTGAGTACCAAGGACCCATCGGCCACATCAGAACATATTTCTGATGTGCTCGGGGAAATGGTCCGTACCGTACTTAGGGCGAGAAATGATCCAGATGCTTCCAGAGAAGTGATCAAAAACAGTCTAGAAGCAAGCCCCGATGTGCGTTAAATCAAATCTCATGAGCTTTGAATGCTTCAATCATTTTATCATTCTCTCAAAATTTGAGTTTATTTGGATGTGAACTCATACTGCGCTGGCCTTTTGAAGTTTATATGGGAATTACTATGGGAAAAATGAATTTTTTGTTGCCAACGTCCTAGCCCTTCGCCATAATGAGTTACACAGGGTGGCAAGTAAACCAGGAAAACCAGGAAAACCGGGAAAACGTCGGGAGTTTATTTTCACCAGGAAAAACCGGGAAAAAACCCGGAATTTTATAAGTCCACCAGGAAAATAATGTTGTTTGTATAATTTAAATAGATTTTAAATTTTATGTATGTCAAAGTTTCTTTTCATAATCAGGTCAAAACTAACCATTTTGTTCAAGCTAAACCTTTCACATTGATGAACAAAATTTACCCTGAGAATTTAGTAAATATATTTTGTATTTATTTTTATTTTATTTTTTTCTCGTTTCAATTGCATGTATGATTTGTGCTTAATTGAAAGCAGACTTAAGCAGTGCCGACGCGTAACTACTTTGAAGTACCTGTTCAACATGTTCAAT